CCCAGCATCTTCCAAGCGGAAGTCTATGCAATCAGTCTTTGCGCAGAAATTAACCTTCGCAGGAATTATCGAAGGGAGAGGATACTTATACTAAGCGATAGTCAGGCGGCACTCATAGCTCTCTCATCCTTCGAGGTCAAATCCTCTTTAGTTCTGGAGTGTATCGAGAAGCTTAATGCCCTTGCTGTGCACAACACCGTTCGGCTAATATGGGTACCGGGTCATATGGGTGTCGAGGGTAACGAAGTAGCCGATCAGCTGGCCAGGCTGGCGGCTGCCTCGACGCCAGTAGGACCTGAGCCCTTCCTTGCGGTGGGTCCCAGCACGTTAAAAGAGGCACTCAGAAAGGAAAACAACAAACTGAGAGAACAGCATTGGCGAAGCATCTCGGGACTTCGTCAAGCCAAGAGCTTATTAGGGGGGTATAACCCAAAGAGATACAGGCTACTCATAAACCTCCCCAAGGCGAGGCTAAGAATCATAACAGGTATTTTGACGGGTCATTGTAGGCTCAGAGGCCACTTGTTTAATCTGGGGATCTGGTCAAGCGACTTATGTCGCTTCTGTGACTCCGCCAAAGAGACACCAATGCACCTTCTCCTGGAGTGTGAGGCCGTTTCGCGAAGAAGGGAGAGGTGCTTAGGACACATATGGCCAAGTGAATATCACATACACACCCTGCCCCCGGGATCCATTCTGAAATTCTTGGAGTCCCTGGGTCTGGATTCAGTGTTGTGATTAGCTCGGGGCACAATAGACCTATTGGTCGCAGTGCGTACCCCAGTATAATTCTAATCATGGCGACCTATGCTGACCTTAGCATCAGACCACAGGACTTATGTAAACTTCGTTCCCACGACAGTCGGGTCTACGTAACCGGAACGACCCAGATAGATATATATCTGGCCAAGGACTGCCACCACTCCAGCAACACTCCCCAAAATCTCTTTGGGGAATTTGTATGCTGTTACAACAACAACAACCTATGTAAACTTCTCCAAAGCCCTACCCACAGCAACCGACGTTCACGTAGGTGAGTGTAAATTCCGCAGGGTTGTCACTGCTGCTGCTGCCCGCTTCATCCCAGCAGGATGTATTTCGGATCCCTGTCCGAATTTTCCTGCTGAGGCGGCTGTCCTAGCCGACAAGCGTGAAAACCTTTGTCCGCCGATCCCGAAAATCCCCGTATCAGGGATCTCAACTCGGAGACTCGACAACTAGTGAACGTACATAAGCGGAAGAAGTGGGAAGAGCATCTGAAGACCTGCCACTTCGCCCTCTGGTGTGACCAACTGTGATGACAGAGTTGAAATATCTTTTGGCGACCACGCTTCGTCGTACCCGGAGCGATGCGCGAGCTATTTTAGCTGACAGTTCATACTGCAGCCTCCGGCGGACAAAGCCAAACGTCGAAGAAGGCTGCGCAAACTGCGAACACCAAGTACGCCTCTTGTTTTCACCAGCGGTGGGGTAAGGGTAGCCATTGGGAAGGCGAAAGCCTCCAAAGCCCTAGGACTCGACGGAGTTTGCTGGTTGATGCTGAAAAATTTGGGTCCTGCGGGAGTGGACTATCTAATCAAGATCCTCAACCTGTCTATGGCCACTCTCATCATTCCAGACATTTGGAAAATTGGGAGAGTGGTCCCACTGTTTAAACCGCGGAAGCCGTGCAACAAAGAAATGTCTTATCGCCCGATAACCCTCCTTTCGCTGGTAGCGAAGACACTAGAGGCACTTCTACTCCCGTACCACACAAACCACCTGAACCCAGCGATGCATCCGAATGGGCTCCGCCAAGTGCACAGCACAACAACAGCACTTAACGCCATAATCACACAGATAACTATATATAACTAGAAACAATTTTATTTAGTTTGAATTCTTACAAATAAATTATTAGATTTCCACAAACGTTGAAGTAAATTTTAGCTCTACACAGTTCGTTGTCCAACTCGGTGTTTGCGTAAGTACATAAGTATGTATGTATGTATGTATTAATATTTTCTTTGTCCCTCATTTTAAAGTAATGCTTCGCCTAGCTTAATCAGTAAGCAATGTCCATTTGCAAAACTGAGTTCAATAAATGAGAAGGAGTAAACAAGAAGTGTTGAAGAACTTTTAGTGATTAAAAATGTACTGTTTCACTTCTGTGATCATATGGCATTCATACATACATAATGGGCCGTATAAAAAAACTAAGCAATTGGTTTTTCTTAAAATTGCAGACCTTTCACATAGACCCAGCTGTCGTGGAAACGAATATATACGACTGAATACATGAGGTGATACTGATTCCGCGCAAATGAAAGCACAAATGAAAGCACGAAGAGTAAGAATATATTGCTAAATAAAAAAAAAAATGGTTTTGCCTGAACAATGAACCACTGGTTACATATCTTAATTTTTTCTTAAAATTTATTGGAAACTGTAGTGTGTAAAATGAAAGCTTGTAGCATATTCAACTAGGTTCATAGGTATTACCGGTAATATCTGAGAATATTTCAGCGCCCCTCTTTAAATACAGCTATTTTGTGGTTCTACATCGATAATAGTGTAAACGTGAGCAGTTTGGAAGCGATGAGTAAAGTTCAATAAACATTTGATACTATGAAACGCAAATCGAAAACGATCATATAAGTCGGGTACGAATGCTCCAATACTTGTACATATGTATATAAGTACCTAAAAATATAGCATTTGTATACTGCATGTATAGACAACTTAAGAATGTAATATGAGGAACATTTGTGCAAATATGCGATAAGTTAAACATACTTATATGTACCTATACATTTCATAATAAACAAATCCTAAAAGCAAATACAAGTGCGTATATGAAGGCATGCAAACCAACGCTTGGGTTTCTAGGTGGCTTTGTATGTACGTGTGTAGTTCTAAACTGCAAACCTCGGACAAGCCAGGCATCCGCCAGCAAATATTGAGTTAGTCATGCGATTTGAGCGATGAGTAATGAAAATGGTTATATACTTGTTGTTGCATATACACATACATGGAAAAGTACTTAAAGTGCAATACATATCAAAATGTTTTAATATTACTAATTAAGTTAAAACTTTAAAGACTACTCAGTGCAAATTTGGATTCAGACGCTTTCACAGAGGCTGTAGAATCTTCTGTATATAATTACTAATACAAAATACAAAAATAAGCGAAAAATGCAAGGGTTATCAGTTGATAGCAGTTGCTCTATTTTCTACGACTAAGCGATAAAAATAAGCAAATACTTATGTACAGAATCAAAGCGACAGCCGTTCGGTCAAACTCACAACAAAGACAAAATGTAGAGAGAGTATCTTCGTGGCAGCGTACACTTGTACTTATGTATGTATATGAATTTATTCGCACATTTTATTTTATTTTTTATAATGCAGATATACATATGTACATAGTATAGGTACTCTATGCAAATAACAAAAAGCGAATTGAAAATCGAAATGGGTTGGAAAGAAAATGTACACCAATGCATGTCATGATAACGTATACCAAAATACAAATTCATTGTACAATGCAGCATCGCTGAGGTATACGCCGACAGCATTTCTCGAAAACCTACACGCTTACACAGGTTCTTCAGAGAATTCTTTTGTTTTCATTCGGAAACACCCGCCCGCATGAGCAATTTTAACAATTTTTTTGCATTTGCGGACGACGCTGTACATTTTCCTCAACTTTTGGTTAATTTTGCTTATACGTCACTTTTGGATAGCATCCAGCGGCGTAGTTCGCTTGTGTACATGCAATTGTGCTTTGTTTGCTTATCTTATTTATATTTTTTTCATTTCGATTATGTTACTGGCCATTGCGCTAACTTTTTGCGTCTCACGAAAAAGTTGCCAAATAAGATAGGCTAACAAACACGTACAGGTAAATGTATTTAGGTGTTGAGGTGGATAACAGCTGACACATAAATGAGTACTTACGTTAGATTTTTACACCAGTAACTGGGTCCCCAAGTGCATTGTTTGGCTCCAAGCATAGGCGTTGCATTCGCAAGGAAAGCACCTGGAAATAATGGAAAATTATAAAAAATATCAGGGAGAATACGCATGCAAAATAGCACTGTATTTGTATATAGATAATGGAAATAAATATGGCTTAAAATACGCAAAACCAGAAAATATAAGACAATTTCCTACTTACCAGCCAGTAGGGCAATGACCACGCAACAAACGAAGCCGCGTTGCATTTTGTTGCAAAACGCTGAAAACTTAGGTGTCACAATAAATTTCCTTCAACTATCAATTTCACTGGGTGGTAGAACAATTGAAATCCAAATTGCAATAAAATTAGACGCACACTTTTTCATAAAACCAACCTCGCACGACAAATGATAGAAGATGAATAATCGAAAAATGCAAAACATTTTGTTTTCAAGTGTCATTCGCTGAATTCATTGGAAACTGGATTCATTGGAATACAGTGTAGAAGTACAGGGTGATAAACGGCGTTTGACAACTGCTGCTGAGTGACATCTGTAGAGGAATGTGATGGGAACGTGGTTACCCGATCGCAGGGTTGCAAGAAAAAACTACTCTAAGATTGTCAATTTCAATTATACTATTAAAATTTTTCCAGCGTTCTTTCAATGTTATTTGGGTTGAGTTTTCAAAATCAATTCAGTTTAATGAATGATATAGTTTGTGAATATCGTTTAAAACCGCTGCCGAATAATTAAAATCGACCTGCAGTTCATCGATAATGCAGTACTATTTCTATCTTATATATGCACCGGAACTGAACGAAAATTGTAATCGCGGCTGATTTTCAGTATTAAGATGTAGGTGGCACTAAATGATAACCTAGATTCATTACAATATTTCAATACATAATTTTAGCAAAGTTCGCATTTATTTATGGTATTCATCTAAACCGATAACTTTGGCAGATATTCTTATAAATGTTTATCCACAGAAAATATATGTACATGTGTATTAACATTCGCTGATTGAAATCAAACTGAAAAAGTTCCTTTTTAATCTTCCCACGAAATTCTATCAATAACAATTTTTGAAACCCCGTATTATTTTCCCACTGTTCAGCCAGAGCGGATAGCGTTACACAGCACTGCTTGTGCACCCCTTTATCGACTTTAAAAGCAACTCGAATAGCGCTTACAGAAGTGGAAAATGAATGCCGCATAGGTGGCGCTCAAATCACATGTGTGAGTGTACTATCTCAGGTTCCAACCTAAGCAAAAAAATTTTATAAAATATTGCGAATTGCGACTTTGAAAGTGGAAAATGTATGTCGTATAGGTGGCGCTAATTCCAGTTTTATGCGGCTACTAACTAAGGTTGCAATCGTCAATATATTAATTTGCAACTGTTTTGCAGTTTTGGTACAAACCGTTTCGAAAAGTTTTAAGCTGAAATTAGTCAAGGACGTAAACCTACCGGTACGTAAACCCGAGCCAGCTGACACGATCTGTCTTACAAGAGCACCATGTAAATGAAAACTCAACACCGCAGAATTTTTCTGTAGTTGTAGCCCGTAGCGCAGAAATCTGCGGAATTTAGATTTTTCCGTGTCGGCTGATTTCTTCCTTCTATAGATGGTTGCCGCTTCGTCAGTTTTGCAGATGGTTAAAAAATTTTAATTTAATATTCAAAATACGTTTAAAAGATTTGAAATTTACTATTAATAAGGTTTTTTGTTGAAAACTAATTAGTTTATATGGCTATGATATATTATAGCACGAAAAATTGTAGTTGAAAAGGTAAGTTTATGAAAAGGCATTGATGAGTGGCAACACTGTCTAAAGTAACACTGAGGGCTCCAGTAATCGACAAAACTCTGCGTATACAGACTGCGTTTAAGTATACGTTCTGCGTTCTTGGCTAATTTCAGCTTTAGGGCCGGTTGTTCGATGTCTGTGACCTTATGGAAACGGGTAGCGAGTCGTCACTAGAATCAGTAAAAAATGAGTTCGATCCGTGGGCCACTCATATATCTCCTGGACACAAACGAAGGCGAAAAGATGATAATTTGGGTCACCCACAAGATGAAATGAGTTTTTTATTTAAATTGTCAAGTCCTACAACTAAATCGGAATATCATCGACGCTTGGGAGGAAATGAAAACTGTTTACCCAAAACTTTTCGAACTTTCGAAAAAACACTGTCGTTGAGTTGGTACCGCGGTGCCTGCTGAGCTCCTTTTCTCAAAAGCTGGTTTTACAGCCACCGAGAAACGCAACCGCTTAATAACAAAACGCTTATCAAAGCTTTTGTTTTTACAAACTTGCTTAAATAATAAATATATAATTATCGCCGCTAAAAATAATCGTTTTATTTCATTTGAGGCTAATTAACAAGAGGATTAAACCTTTTTTGTAAAAGTTTTTTTTGTGAATACTCACTGTACAAAGTGCGTTTAAAAATTCGATTAATCAATTATTTCTCATAAACTGTGCTCTTTTTTTGTCTTGTCACATGATTAATTAATCGATTTTTAATTTTTTTTTGCCATCCCTATCGATAATCTCATAACGGTTTGTATTGGTTCGTGAGAAAGAAAAATTGCTTGATCGTTTGTGCTTCAATTCTATTCAAACGTAGCACAGTTGTAGGCAGTGTTGCCATTTTAATACTTTTAGGGCTAGATGCAGGTCTTTTTATATTAAATTGCCTAGTGAAATTGTAAAATTGCTTTGCGTTATCACCCAATTTGCCAAACAACTTCGTATCGACTGGCCGACGAACTTGTCATCGGATGAAAAGCCAGCGGTCCGCAGTACTAAACTAAATATAACACCTCGTTTCAAAATATAAACCCACCACATATTGGCAAGTTTTAACAATATTTTTTCGTATATAATTTTTGTTATTTTTTTATAAAACTTTAGTTCATTCTTTAACAAAAACTATATAAATCCCATTTAAGACTGTGTGAAATGTTTAAAAACAAATCAGCAATCTTTCCTAAGAATTTTAAACATTCCAATCTGATGATCCAAATCGAATTTGATTCGATGAGAAAAAACGAAGTCGGAACGATGTTGCGTTTTGTATTGTAAACGACTTCGATTCGAACTCGTCCTCGTTCAATGCACATTGGGCAGCATTATTTCGTTGGATTGTTTGCATGTATGTACTAGGTATATATCTGTGTTCGTATGGAAAAGTAGCTTATGTCGAAAGGCTGGCTTTAGTATAAATCGGCATTCGCAGCGTACGATTGCGAATTACGGCTCAGCGCCAGGCCGTTGAACAACTTTTGGCAAATAAACGTGCAAGAAATAGTTCCGATACTAGCAAGTCAATATTCTTATTAAGTCTCTTCAAAAAAGTCCATGTCGTTTAAAGAATAAAGGGAATGCAGCATTATACTAAAGTCTGCCTTTCGACATAAGCTACTTTTCCATACGAACACAGATATGTATAATATCTCGGCCAACAAACTTTTTCAATTCTTCACTGGAGAAGCAATAAATCAAACCTTCTTTTGAATGGAGTCATAAAATAGTTGGGTTCTAAAATTTTTAAGAAAGATTTGTTTTGGTATACTTAAAAAGCAAAAAGTTGCATTTCGAAAAAATTCATCAAAAATCATTGAAAATTTCATCAACGATATGTTATTGAAAATAGCATTACAATCGGTGCGGTATATTTTTTAGATATACATACATGAAATATATAAGTATTTCATTAATTTTATATATAATTTCTTTAGGTATAGATATGCACATTTGGAACAACTGAAGGTAAGATTTAGGGAGATCTCGGTTTAAAGAAACCCTCGTTCTGGTTTTTATATATCATATCCATCATAAAACTTATACATATATAATATAGGTATCGATACTTTCACTTGGAAGTAGTATCGATGCCTGGAAAATATCGGACCTAAAGTATCGATACCTACTCGTATCGGTACTCATTGTGTATTCCGTATTAAGTTAAATTTATTTTTTTTTAAATCACAAGTTAATCATCTTCTGGGAATCCTTAACTCCGAATAACAAAATTTAATAATGTAGGATCTGAAAATAAATAAAACTCCGTTATATAACAGATGTTGCAACTATATGTAAATATAATCGTGAA